TCCCTTGGGTTTTCTATGTACAGGATCATATCATCTGCAAATAGAGATAGTTTTAGCTCCTCTTTGCCAATTTGTATGCCTTTTACTTATTTTTCTTGCCTTATCACCTTGGCCAGGACTTTCAATACAATGTTTAATAGAAGTGGTGATAGAGGGCATCCTTGTCTGGTTCCCGTTCATAAGGGGAATACCTTGAGTCTTTCTCCATTAATAATGATGTTGGCTGTTGGCTTTGCATTTATACCCTTTATTATGTTGAGGAATTTCCCTTCTATCCCTATTTTGCTGAGAGTTCTGAACGGGAATGGATAATGGATTTTATCAAATGCATTTTCTGCATCAATTGATATAATTATATGTTTTTTTTTGTTTGTTTGTTTATGTGGTAGATTACATCGATTGATTTTCTGTGTTGAACCACCCTTGTAAACCTGGTATGAATCCCACTTGGTCCGGGTATATTAATTTTTTGATATATTGTTGGATTCTGTTGGCTAGGATTTTGTTAAAGATTTTTGCATCTATGTTCATGAAGGATATTGGTCATTAACACCAAACACCACGCTACAGATAAGACATAAACACCTGAGCTGATCACACGGGGGTCAGTGGACAGAAGTGTACTCCAGACCAAGGATAGACTCAGCTGAGGCTAATCTTGCACAGACACCAGTGATACAAAACACCTGCATTCCTTACAGAAACAGTGGAAAACAGACACACAGTAATCTCTCACAGACAACCAGACACTATGGGAGAGAGATCCAATAGACATATCATCTCAGGACCATAGTACTGGGGCACACTAGACTCAATTGGCACAACAAAATACATAAAAGCCTTGTTCTGCATCCTACATTGGTGAGTAGCGACTGGGGCCTTAAAAGCTTTTAACTGGCCATCTAAGATGCAGCAAATGGTCTCCTAGCATTGGAAGTGAAGAAGAATGCAAAACTAACAACAACAACAACAAAATCCAAGGGCATTTAGAAGCAATCAGCCATAGCACATGATGGTCCTTGAGACCAGAAGAACTAGATGGTGCCCAGTTACCAATGACAACCACTCAGGAAAGGATAAAATCTGGAGATCCTGGATAGAGTGGGAGGGAAAATGTGGAAAAATCCAAAAACTCAATAATGACAAGAATTACTGGTCAGATGAAATCTTGTGAGACTCCCAATACTATGGCCCTGGAATACATTCAACGCCTGGAATAAAATGCACCCCTAGGGGTGGGCTCTAAGCCCAATAGTTAACAAGATGTACATGCAGATCACTCAACCCAGGATGACACACCACATGTTGTTGTTGTTGTTGTTGTTAGGTGCCGTCTAGTCGTTTCCTACTCATAGCGACCCCATGCGCAGCAGAATGAAACACTGCCTGATCCTGTGCCAGCTCCATGATCCTTGCTATACTTGAGCCCATTGTTGCAGCCACCATGTCAATCCATCTCCTGAAAGGCCCTACTCCTCTTTCGTTGACCCTCCACCTTACCAAGCATGACATCCTTCTCCAGGAAATGGTCCTCTCTGACAAAATGACCAAAGTAGGTGAGATGAAGTCTGGCCATTCTCACTTCCAAGGAGCATCTCGGCTGCACTTCCTCCAGGATAGATCTATTAATTCTGACGCACCACATATTCTTTGGTAATACATCCCTTAGAGCAATAGACCATGGGACACCAGAGGACCAACATTCAAATTGAGGAAATGCAGGACAAACAGGAGTCCATAAATATGAGGGGCACAGGGAGAGGGTTACAGTGTAGGGAGGGGAGGAGACTGCGTTAGGGTTGGAAATGGTAAATGGGGAATGAAACGAAATGTACATGTAACATCGAATGTAAAACAAGCTCTTAAGATTAAAAATAAATAAATAAATAAATAAAAATAAAACTGTGGGCAGTATCCTGGGAAGGTACCAAACCTAACCCACTGCCACTAAGTCGATTCTGGCTCATAACAACTCTATAGTACAGAGTAGAATTGCCTCATAGGGTTTCTGTAATCTTTTTGGAAGCCACTGCCACATCTTTCTCCCTCTGATGGCTGGTGAGTAGATCTCCCACTTTTTGGTTAGTGGCTGGGGGCTTAAACCACTGAACCACTACGGCTTCTGGGAAGTCACCAAGAAGTCTCAAATG